AGAGAATGAGAGACAGAGAGCATGAGAGGGAGGAGGGTCAGAGGGAGAAGCAGACTCCCTGCTGAGCAGGGAGCCCGATGTGGGACTCGATCCTGCGACCCCAGGATCATGACCTGAGCCGAAGGCAGTCGCTTAACCAACTGAGCCACCCAGGCGCCCAGCTCATGTGATTTTTGATTTGCAATCCCCTAATGATTAGCCCCGCGTCGGGCTCTCTGCTCAGCGGGAGGCCTGCTTCTCCCTCTCCCGCTCCCCCTGCTTGTGTTCCCTCTCTTGCTGTCTCTCTCTCTGTGTCAAAATAAATAAATAAAATCTTAAAAAAAAAAAAAGAATTAGAATACCTTAAATTCTTTAGCAATAAAACTGTATTTATTATAAATGTCAGTATCTACTAGTTCAGAATCATGATGAACATAACAGTATTGTTAGATATAAGGCTTAACAAATTGAGCTGAATTGTTGCATGTCCCATCTTTCTTTTTCTTTCTTTCTTTCTTTCTTTCTTTCTTTCTTTCTTTCTTTCTTTCTTTCTTTCTTCTTGTTCTTCACTCTGATGTCTCTCCCTTTCCTTTTAAGGGCACTGATCCCATTGTGAGGGCTCTATCCTCATGACCTCATCTAAATCTAATTATCTCCCAAATACACTGTCTCTAAATATCATCACATTGAAGGTTCGGGCTTCAACATTGGAATTTGGGGAGGACACAGTTCGATCCATAGCAACTCAGGACCTTGACTTCCAAACTGTGCTCTGTGGAGTCCCAGGGGTACCACTGTGGATACACAGAGATGGTGGGGAGAAAGCTGGTGGGGCACATACTTCCCTCTGTTTTAACCAGAACAGTTTCTATTTCATGTTATAAGGTATCGTTTGAGGAGAGAGTTTTGCAGTTAGAAATTTGATTTAAGAATGTTTAATCGACTGCAGTGCTTTCCCCCCGCTTTCTCTCATTGCAGAGCAGGGGTGCTCTTCTTCCTGACGACCAACCAGTGTTTCAGCAGTGTTTCAGCTGTGGAGCTCTTTGTGGTCGAGAAGAAGCTCTTTATGTGAGTAGGTCTCTGTTCCAGGAAGGGGGCTATCCGATATCAGGGGCTGTTGGTCAAACTGGTCATATCCAGTATTGGGCCACAGCTTGGTTCCTGGGGATTGCCGATGTTAATTGAGAAAAAGCAGCCAGAGGCTGGAAGGACAATCATGAGCACCTGGGGCTTGATACCAAGGGAAAAAGGAGTTCAAGAATAGGGCAGAGCCAGCAAACCCAAATGCTGCAGAAAAAGCAAGCGATAAAGGGGCTAAAAGGGATCTTTTGTTTTTAGCAAATGAGAAGTCATGATGGCCCTTACAGGAAAAGTTAGAGAGGCTTGGTAGAGAGAAGGTGGTGGGTTGAGCAGTAAATATAAGGTGTGGAGGTCAAGTTGACAAAGAATGTGGACCCAGCTTAACCCTGAATGGGAGGGGAATGGAAGGAACCAAAAAGGGCAGCCTTAAAATAAAGTAGGGGCTGTTTTGTTTCTTGTGTTTTTCAAAGTTGGATGAGATTTGCCCGTATTTACATGCTGAGGAAAGGAATCATTCAAGAGGGAAAGAAAGATATTGGTGGAGGAGTTTGGAATTACAGGAGGAAGATGTCAGGAAGAGGAAGGGGTCTAGAACTGGAGAGGGAAGGAAACAGGATTTGATGGCTGACAGGGATGTATGGTTGAAAGTTGAAAGGTATGATTGTTGAAGGAAGAAGTGCCATTTTCTTTTTTATCATGAGAGTGGAAGAAGTGATCCAAGGTGCATTAGGAAGCTCGGAGGATAGCAGAGCCACCTTCTTCATAATCAGAAGTGGGGAGAAAGTAAAGCCTCTACCATAACTGAGCTCAGCTACTGGAGCGCTGTTCTCCAAGGAGAGCCAGTGTTGGAAGAGAGGGAGGAGATGCAGATCTGCCCACTGAGAGTGGGTGCTCAGGGGGCAGAATAGATGGCAGCTAGAGGGAGTTCTATAACGAGAAGAGGGGTATTGCACAGACTCGTGTGGGGGTGACATCACAGGGAAGGCTCACACCCAAGATGGTGCCTGATGCTGACAGGATGGTGGCGGGGGTTTGCCTCAAGGATAGGAGAAGCTGTAGTCATTAGACCCCTGGTGGCGGCAAAGTCTGTAGGTAAGCAAGCAGCCCAATCTGGTCTCTGCCTTCCTAAACTAATGTAGGACAATTTTTTTCTTTTTTAGACATGAATATATCAGTGGATACTACAGAGTGTCATCTTATTTCTTTGGAAAACTGTTATCTGATTTACTACCCATGAGGATATTACCAAGTATTATATTTACTTGTATAATATACTTCTTGTTAGGTAAGCAATATGACAAAAGGTTTTTGTCTTTAGTCTTGGATATGAGGGTAAGACAGTTTCTTTTTACCAGCTTAGTTTTGGTTCTCAGACTCTAAACCAAGCCAGTGAGAGAAGGAGACATCTATCCATTGTGTGTGCAATGAAATAACTGTTCTTTGAGGACATTTTTGTCAAGACTTGTTCCAAACTAACTTAAAACTATTTATAAAACTGTATTTTACTGAAAGATGCTGTGTGTCATTTATAAACATGGAAAGAATTCACGAAACTATTTGAGACTCTGCTGGAGGAGCTGAGATAGTTACTACCTATTTATGTTTGTGTTTTTTTTTCCCAAAGATTTTATTTTTTATTTATTTGACAGAGAGAGGCACAGCGAGAGAGGGAACACAAGCAGGGGGAGTGGGAGAGGGAGAAGCAGGCTCCCCGCAGAGCAGGGAGCCCGATGTGGGACTCGATCCCAGGACCCCGGGATCATGACCTGAGCTGAAGGCAG